ATTGCAGAGGCCAGAGAGCTGGGCTGTATTCTGCGCCCCCATGCCTGGGAATGCTGAGCACTTCTGGAACCTCCAAGCCACTGAGACTTTCTGCTCAGGGAATCCCCAAGGATCGAGGGAGGCTGAAATTGAGCAAGCCTTTAATGCATGCATGCATTCACGCAGTCACTCACTCCACAAATATTTACTGAATACGTGCTTTGGGCCAAAGTGATTTCGGCAGGCACATCTTGTCCTGCCTGCTATTGCCTTTTTTCCGGAGACCCGCTCCTTCACACTTGTAAATCTCCCTCTGGAGTACTCAGCAGATTCCCGAAGCTGACTGAGGCTCGGAGTGCCAGTCCCTTGCCACAGGTCACATGGTACTGAATGGAAGATACAGGACCTCAGAACCAAGAGGTTTTGACTCATTTGTGTCTCTTTCTGTTTTGTCATTGGCCAGGAGACAGTCATTGAGTTGTTTCTATTTGCCAGGCATCAAGCTCTGTCCTCAGGAGTTTTGTTGTTGTTTCATTTTCAGCGTGTTTGTTTTGTTTAAGAGCAATCAGAGTGCCCCTGATGCTGGATGGTGGCTGATGTCTGTTGCATGCTAGGCACCGCACAGGGTGCTGGTCACGATCTTCTCCGGAGATTCCTCCCAGACCCGCTGGAAAGAGGAGGAAACTGATGCTCAGAGACACGTACCTTTCTGAACATCACACCCCTCAGGTGAAGCTAGGGATTTCAATCCCAGCCTGTCTCTCTAGAGCCCTGACTCAGCCACTATCCCTCACTACCTCTCTGTGACCAGGGTTTAGTTCTGGTCCTCCCATGAAGCTTGATTTGCCAGAACCTGCTTGTGAGGCCTTACTTGGTCTTCATTTTGACCACGTGTAAATTGGGGGCAGGGCAGCCTGTCCATCCTCTTCTGCTGAAATCACCCTGCCCAGAAGATGGGTGATTTCAGGACACTACCTGGTGAAGATCACTGCATCAACAGGAGCTGGAGATCCAGCGTGTGTGAGCCGTGTGAAGGCATCTCTCTCTGTTCCTCCAGTCTGCCCCTTCTCTCTCATCATGCAGGGCAAGCTCAGGTTGTGGCCCTGCCTCTGTTGGGAGGACTCTTGAGCAGTCATCTCCCATGCCTAAGCAGACCTGCAGAGAACCCTGTTCACACTGAGGGTCATCTGCAACGTGAAACTTCAGGACAGGAAGCTATATTGGAGGATAACTAGGACGTCTTTCACTTTATAGAGGGGGAAACTGAGTCCTCAGCAATCAGCCATGTCGATTCTGTGTTGTAGGGACCCGAGGACGCGTCTCATCTCCCTGTCTGAACAGCAGGTTCCCATGCTGTGAACGTTTCACCCTGACCCTCACTGTATTTTTTTTTTTTTTTTTTTTT